AAGAATTTACATCACTAACAGAAACCTATTACTCCAGCTAACATAATTGTGGCCATTCTCGTTATTCACAGAGATGTCCAATCCTTTTCGGAATCATATTAAGTGCTTGGTCTTCTGGTGATGAGTTCCATAGGCTAATTATACAGTCTGCAAAACAGTATTTTCTTGTCTCCATTTTTAATTTGTTGCCTTTCAGTTTCATTGCCTGTCCTCTTGTTTCTATATTATGAGAAGGAATATAGAGCAGAGCCTGGTTTACCTTCTCTATACTATTCATTATCTTGTATGCCTCTATCAAGTCACTTATAGAACTGCAATTCATAGAATACCAGGGTTGAAAGGGACCTCAGGGGGTCATCTAGTCCAACCCCCTGCTCAAAGCAGAACCAATCCCCAGACAGATTTTTGCCCCAGATGGCCCCCTCAAGGATTGAATTCACAACCCTGGGTTTAGCAAGCCAATGCTCAAACCACTGAGCTATACCTCCCCCCATTGTCTCTTTTTTTAAACTAAACAGTCCCACTCCTTTCTAATGGATGCCTCCCCGATCCTCTAAATCATTCTCATCACCTGTCTCTGAATCCTCTGTTTCTGCCATCCACTTTCAGGGATGGGGTGATTGGAATTGACCCTGGTTCCTAGATGGCATGATAATAGAATCATAGAACCATAGGGTTAGAAGGGACCGCAAGGGTCATCTAGTCTAACCCCCTGCCAAGATGCAGGATTTGTTGTGTCTAAACCATCCCAGACAGATGGACATACAAACTCCTTTTGAAAACCTCCAGGGAAGGAGCTTCCACAGTCTTCCCCCCACCCCCGCCCAGGCAGTCTGTTCCATCATCCTACTGGTCTTACCGTTAGGAAGTTTTTCCTGAGATTTAATCTAAATCTGCTATGCTGGAGTTTGAACCCATTGCCTCTGGTCCTGCCCTCTGGGGCAAGAGAGAACAACATCCTTCCATCTTTTTTTGTGGCAGCCTTTCAAATATCTGAAGACCACTATCATATTCCCCTTAATCTCCTCTTTTCCAAACTAAACATACCCAGTTCCTTCAGCCTTTGCTCGTATGGCTTGCATTCCATCCCTTTGATCATCTCTGTCACTCACCTCTGGGTCCTTTCCAGTTTCTCTACATCCTGTCTATACATCGGTGACCAAAATGGGACATGGTTTTCCAGCTGAGGCTTAACCAACACTGATTAGAGCAGTTCTATCACTCCCCGTGGCTTGCATGCTGCGTCTCTGTTATGCAACCCAAAATTGCATTTGCTTTATTTGCAACAGCATCGCATTGTTGACTCATGTGGAGGTTGTGATCCACCCAACTCCCGGATCTTCTCTGCGGTGCTGCTGCCAAGCCAATTTCCCCCACTTCTGTATTTGTGCATTTGGTTCTCTTCCCTAAGCATAGCACCTGACATTTGTCTTTGTTGAATTTCATTTTTCCAATTTATCAAGATCCCTCTGAATGTAGCTCTATCCTCCAAAGTGTCGGCAACCCCTCCCCCCAAAACCTTGTGCCATCTGCAAACTTGATCAGTACGCTCTCTATACCTACCTCCAGGTCAGTAATAAAGATGTTAAACAACACGGGACCCAGAACAGATCCCTGTGGAACCCCACTTGAGATCTCCTCCAATCCAACATCATTCCATTAATAGTTACTCTTTGTTTGCAGTTGTTTAATCAATTATGTATCCACTTAATGGTATTCTCTCAAGCCTGCATCTCTCCAGCTTACTTATCAGAATGAAATATAGAACTGTGTCAAAAGCCTTGCTAAAGTCCAGGTATATTATGTCCCCCGCAGTCTCCCTATCCACCAAATCAGTTACCCTGTCAAAGAAGGGTAATGATGGCAGGATTGTTCTCCATCCCATTCCTTAGGTACCCTAACTTCCAGGACCGACCGTGCCAGCCAATCGCACCAGCCCGCGGGGGCCCCCCAAAGCACAGGGCCTGGAACAGTCGTCCCAATTCGCTGTCCCCTAGTGACATCTCTGCCTGTGTGAAGAACACATGATCTGGCTCTTGGCGCTCAACCCTGGTAGAGATAGGTCCAAACCAAAACGCTGGGTCTGACTCTCCCGCTCCTGCAGACTTTGAATCTACGTAGAACTCAGGTGTGCTGGTAGCACTGTGGAGTGATTTAATTGGCCATCTTAATATTTCACCTGCAATGACGAAGAAAAAAAAAAACAGCAGTTGCTTTAGAGCTGGTCGGAAAAAGGATTTTCCATTTGAAATTTGTTTGCGGCCCAAACCAGGATGAAAACTCAAAATCTCGAACAATTGTGTGGAGTGGAAATTCTGAAATATTAAGTCAGAAACAGCAAACCGACCTTATCAAAACATTTCAGTTCGATAATGCCAACGTCCGATAATATGTGTGTAGAAGATTATAATCTATAGATAGCAACATTACATGTATTAATCTGATACTACAACTAATTAGAAGGCAGAACTTTAAAAAAAAATTAAAAGAATGAAATGAAGTCAAAATGAAATACTCCATTTCTATTTCAAATCAGTAAAAACAAAATTCTATTGAACATTTTTTGACAACACTGCGTTTTCCCATGGAAAATTTCTGTCGCAATTTTTTTTCAATCAGTTCTACTTACCATGCAGAGCTATTTGAGAGACCACAGATTTCCCTGATGCTTAGAGCAGGGAACACCAGAGATAACTCAGCCATATCTGTTGGTAAGAGTGAGCTCTGTGATATTATAGACTGAGAAAAGACACCACTACTTACTACCTAAATAGCCATTTTCATCTGTGGAGTTTAACATGTACTGCCAAGGGGATGAGTATCATCATCTCCACTTTACAAATAGGGAAACGGAGGCATGGGGAGTTGATGTGACTTTCCCAAGGTCTCTCAGTGAATCGGCATCAAAGCCGGGATTAGAACCTTGATTTGCTGTTTCCAAGGGCCCTGCTCTAAACACTGGCTCACATTGCTACATCCTTCATTGTTCTTGTAGTCGCATAGAATTATAGATGTTAGAGATGGAACGATCTACCGGGTTAGCCAATAGCTCCCTCTAAACAAAGGATTCTTCCATGCGGTGTGCTATAGACTAGCACTTTATGGAACCTCTCCATAGCAATGACACAAGCGATAAGCCTTCCATCATGTCCCTTGGGGAAACAATTCCACAGCTGAACAGACTGCAGCATTAGGAAACATTGCTTGACATCCAACCATGGCTACAGCTTCTATAATCAGCTGATATATTATTAATGGGAGGCAAAATAAATACAGGTATTAATGCTAGTGGACACCACCGTGTACTAATAGCTGTTAGAGTAATGTATTCCCCTTGTTTTTAGCTTCTATTAGTCTTTTTATAGAGTGTTACAAGGCCCTTGTGAATCCATTAGCCAGTCAGCCATGTGAAATTAATGTAGAGCAATTTTCATAAGCGTTACTCAGTACTAATAATAATTAGGCATTATTTTCCCTGCAGATGACACAGAAAATAAAGTCTGACTCTTATGCCAAGATGGGTTTGCATTAGCTTAAGGTGGATGAATTAATTCTCATTTACAAGGCTGCTCGCTAGCTAGCCAGAAAGCACCCAGGTAATTAAAACCAATTTGCTTCCCACAATCCTATTGCAGAGTTTTATCATGGCTGTAAGTCCTTGGGCTTTTATAGTGTTGCAAAGGATGGGATATTGAATAGCCATTACTGCATGACTAAGCATTCTCTTTCAAGATAGCTCAAGAGACTCTAAGAAAGGTCTCAACATTGAAAGGACCAGAAATCATTTTGCAACATGCCTCTTTGAGAGGTAAGGGACAGATTGTGTGAGGGTTCTGAATACCTCCTGTCATGTGTTGATGTAACCCACAAACCTCCAGGGTGTGGTGTTCTGTCCCATCTAGTGACACAATAGTGAGTGAGGTCGTGCAGTAGAGGCTCATGCACTACTTAGGTTCAATCCTGTCCAACAATGACTGGGGTCTGTCGGTGTTACATTGAGCACCTTCAACTCTGATTTGTTTCACTGGGAACTGAGAGAATGCACATGTGCTTAAGAGAGATCCCTTAATATAAATAAAATGCTATTCACTTTTGCCTTCCTTTGTGCGATGATCTATTTACCTGCAGTAGATTATTCAGCCACTAGATGTCTTGCTGTGTTGCACAGAATTCCCAATAGGGTGTAATCCCTGGTAAACAAAGGAGACAAAGCTGGGATTCAAGCTTTGTTGGTTGAGCTCTTTCTTTGAACCTGCGGTTAGTAACTGTCTTTTTTTAAAATACCTCCTGTTTAAATTACCATAATGGATGCCTTCTTTAGACGGTGACTAATGGGCAAATCGCAGAAAGTTCTCTGCTACCTTAAATTTTTCTACAGCACCTTGTACCAACTAAGCCCAACATTCGAAAGCAATGAAGGTGAGATTCTGACCGGTTAGTCATAGGCCAAATTTCAAAGCATCGTCAGTGGCTGCAATCGAAAGTCTATTTATCGGCAACTTTTCCTGCCATGATATCTAAGGCACCACTGTATTTCCTGGTAATGTACTTAGACTAGGAAATAACTGCTTGCTCTGATGCAACTGTTTGGGACGTGCTGACTTTTGAAATGGTCAGGACTTTTGTTTTCCAGATTTTCTATGTTTATTGATCTAGTCTTCGTCTGTCTCTCTGCACTCTCTATTGTATCTCTAATCTATTACCCATCACATTGGCATAAGCTCATATCATTAACATGGAGCTTAACTGGATGATCCCACACAAGAGCATATTGGTAACTGGTAATTCCCAGCTCCTCCACACACTCCCTGTCTGACATTAAGCAAGTAACTTATCCTCCTGATGCCTCAGTTTCCCACCAGGGATGTTGTGAGGATAAATCCATTAAAGACTGTGATGTGCTTTGAGAGCTACTGATGAAAAGTCTCGATAAGAGACAGGTGTTATTATGCAGATTTCTATAAAGGAGAGGAGAGTTGGGATGGTGAAATCGATTTTTATTATGATTTAAAAATCATCACTAGCAAAATAGTAACATAGAAAAACAAAAGGAGTGAAGAAGCCGGAGGTGCAGGCTCCTTCCCAGCGCTGGAGCGAAGCCGCTTGGAAATCGTGATGTTATCCAGTCCTTGGGGGATGAAAGGCTTCCCTTCCCTGGCCGTCTCCACCTGGATCCACTCCAAGTAGTTGAAAATGAAGGTGTACATTCCGGGATGCTGTTTTTCCCCGCAGCCTTCTCCCCAGCTGACTATGCCAAGAGCAAACCACTTCATGACGTCTCCATAGGTGCAAACCAAAGGTCCCCCGCGGTCTCCCTAGAGGTTAAAAAGAGAGCACAATGGGATGATGAACAACATCTTTTACAGCAGCTGGATGCCAGAGTTAAGCCAGAGGTGGGCTTGACTGGGGAAAATCAGATTTTCTATAAGGTGGATAGAAAGCTGGCTAGATTGTCGGGCTCAACGGGTAGTGATCAATGGCTCCATGTCTAGTTGGCAGCCGGTTTCAAGCGGAGTGCCCCAGGGGTCGGTCCTGGGGCCGGTTTTGTTCAATATCTTCATTAATGATCTGGAGGATGGCGTGGACTGCACTCTCAGCAAGTTTGCAGATGACACTAAACCGGGAGGAATGGTAGATACACTGGAGGGTAGGGATAGGATACAGAGGGACATAGACAAATTAGAGGATTGGGACAAAAGAAACCTGATGAGGTTCAACAAGGACAAGTGCAGAGTCCTGCACTTAGGACGGAAGAATCCCATGCACTGTTACAGACAAGGGACCGAATGGCTAGGAAGCAGTTCTGCAGAAAAGGACCTAGGGGTTACAGTGGACGAGAAGCTGGATATGAATCAACAGTGTGCCCTTGTTGCCAAGAAGGCTAATGGCATTTTGGGCTGTATAAGTAGGGGCATTGCCAGCAGATCGAGGGACGTGATCATTCCCCTCTATTCGACATTGGTGAGGCCTCATATGGAGTACTGTGTCCAGTTTTGGGCCTCACACTACAAGAAGGATGTGGAAAAATTGGAAAGAGTCCAGCGGAGGGCAAAAAAAATGATTAGGGGGCTGGAACACATGACTTATGAGGAGAGGCTGAGGGAACTGGGATTATTTATTCTGCAGAAGAGAAGAATGAGAGGGGATTTGATAGCTGCTTTCAACTACCTGAAAGGGGGTTCCAAAGAGGATGGATCTAGACTGTTCTCAGTGGTACCTGATGACAGAACAAGGAGTAATGGTCTCAAGTTGCAGTGGGGGAGGTTTAGGTTGGATATAGAAAAAGCTTTTTCCCTAGGAGGGTGGTGAAGTACTGGAATTGTGATACCTAGGGAGGTGGTGGAATCTCCTTCCTTAGAGGTTTCTAAGGTCAGGCTTGACAAAGCCCTGGCTGGGATGATTTAGTTGGGGATTGGTCCTGCTTTGAGCAGTGGGTTGGACTAGATGACCTCCTGAGGTCCCTTCCAACCCTGATAGTCTATGATTCTATGATTCTAAATACCAAGCCCTTCCAAGGATGAAAATTTCACAGAGCAGGCCCAGCTCTGTGAGATCCCCCTGGAGCAATTCAGCAGGGAAGGTGCTTTCTCAGTGTAAGATCAGGATGCCGGTCAAGGATCATGGGCAGCAGGAATTCAAGCTACCCCCACACCACCCCATCAATGTGCTTTAACCTTAAAAGACAACCTCTACGAGAGAGAGAGAGAGAGAGAGAGAGAGAGAGAGAGAGAGAGAGAGAGAGA